GGAGCAGGGGTTCTGAGTCATAAGGATATGTAGATAGGAGAGTCGCTGTATGTGCCCGAGACTCACGTATTGTGGGGAGTGACATACCCACCCACAAAGTGTAAGGATGGAAGACGGCATGCCTATGTACTCGGCTCAGGGCCTGGCCCGTGACAAGGGCTCTGCTAATATCAGCCATTGGCCAGGGTTGTAGGAAGGGTGGAAGGGGCAGCCAGAGAGGTTTTGGAACCAAGGGGGACATTCAGGCCATGCTCTGCAGGATGAATAGGAGTTGCAGAGAGCCTTACTGTCTTGCTTTGAGACAGGGTCCCACTGTGTAGCCCATGTTGGCCTTGAACTGGCTATCCTCCTACCTCAGCCCCTGATACTGGGATTGCAGGTGTGTAACTTCTGGGTGGTTGTTGCTGTTATTGCTGACTTTTACATGGGGTAACACAGCACGCGTTAGGAAATCAGAGGACAACTTGGAGTAATCGGTTGTCTCCTTCCACCATGTGAGTCCTCGAGACCGAACTCAGGTCATCAGCTGAGCCATCTCGACGGCCCCTGGTTTCTAAGATCAGAAGTCACCTTTGTTCATTAGCAATTTCCCCCATAAACAGACATCAAGAATTGAGTAGCAGCCGGGCACCATCCTTCCCTCTGGGGTCCCCCGAAGTGACTTGCTCCTTGACCTGTTGAGGTGTCAGGGGTTTCTGGGTTATTCCTTCCTGCTCCCCTTTTGTTTGCACCCTGAACCCTGCACTTCTTTCCTGGCCGTAACCAGTTTCTCGAGTGACTGGAGAGTGTGTCAGGGGTGATGTGTGATTTGCCTGCCCTCCCTCCCCAGTGAAATCCCAGCAGAGCGAGCCTGCAGGACACTCAGGGGGCAGCAACGCTGTGCTGAGCCCCCTCAGGGCCTTTTGTTTTTGTTTTGTTTTCATTTCAGTAGTACTGGGGATTGCACTTGGAACAGGGAATAGTTGTCACTGGTCACCTGTGCTTGGAGTCAGACAATACTGATGCTCAGCTGTGAGCTCTGTCACTCGGTACATGGCCTCGGACAAGGTGCTTAGCCTCTCCGAGCTACAGTTCCCTTCTCTATGAGTAGTCACAGTATGGCTAGCTCCTGGATTTCCCTAGGTACCTTGGTTTATTCTTTATCCTCTTACCCTCAGCTCCGACTGATACTGCCTCTGTCTCTCAGCCTTCCTCACTGGGATGGGCTCCTGAGGCGGGAACCGCCTCTTTCGTTCTCTTAGGTCCGAGCCCCTTCCCGTAGCAGGTTCTCTGGCCCTGGCAGGTGGGTGGATGAGGTCGTGGAGGAGACATCGAGGTAGACGAGGCACAAGGAGAGCTTTCTGAGCAGGAATGGACTCCGGCAGGGGGTGCATTCGAAGTTGGGTCTTCAAAGCTTAACCTATGCTGCCACGCCTCAAGGCTATACCTTCAGAGAGTAGTGGACCCTGGGTTCAGATCCCACCTCCATCTCCCACCAGGTGTAGCTTTGGAGGTCTGACGTAATTCACTGAGCCTCAGTTCCCAAGTACGGAAAACGGCCAATGTAAGTCTCTAAGAGATGAGAAGGGCTTCCACTGCTGAGACTCGGATGCAGTAAGGCAAAACACGGCAGACCCTCGCTGGCAGTCCATACCCGGGGCCAAGGCCTTTTCTCTCCTCCTCCTGCAAGGGAAAGGGGACAGAACCACCGTCTCACCTCACAGAAGACTGGAGGCCAAGAGGTGGAAAGACCCCAATCCTGACCTCATAAGCTTAGGTTAGCCTGACCCTGCCAGCTGGTCAGCCAGGGAATTAAGAGGAGGCTGAACCACTTCCCAGGACTGTCCCTTCCCCAGGGCCCTATCCCTTCTCCCTCAGACCTCACCTCTCCCTACCACCTTTGTGTCACATCCGGTCTTGGGCAGGCCCTGTCGACACTTGCGGTCACCCAGAGGACTGTGGCAGAGCCACGTGGGCCGACCTTCTGCATGCAGGGCACACTTGAGGGACACAGATTCCCCGAGAGCCAGGAGGAGCCTGTCACTAGAGCAGCTTCACCTGGATAGTCGTGTGCCTCCAAGCCCTCTCCCCACACCACACTGCAGCCACCATCACCACAGAGATGCGGGCTGGTTCATAAGGACAGATGGACATAGGGTGTCCTATCCAAAGACCCATCTATGTGCCTTCACCAGAGGACCTGGGGGCACAGGCATCTAGGATTGCACACATTCACAGAAGCACACCTGTGTTCGGACGCAAGACTCAGACCTGTTCACAGATGCAGGCTTATAGACACAGGCCCACAGATACACACCCACAGAGCACACTTACTGACCCACAGACATCCGCAGCTGTGAACTCATAGATACACATACATCCACAGACACACAGGCGCACACTCAGATGGCCTCGGAGGCACTAGCACTCACAGACACACACACACAAACACCTGACAGGGAGACGCACCCGCTCCCTACAGCCCACCTTTGCCCAGCACCACGGCTAGCTCCGTGCCTGCACACTCCAGCCCCAGCAAGCCTCCCCTCAGCCCAGCCTTCCCCGGGTGGGTGCTCTGGGAAACCCCAGATCTCACTGACTCCTGGTCTGCACCCACTCATATATGGAAAGTTCTAGGGCTGCAATTAGCTCAGCCCCAGAGAGCTTGGGTAAGCTTTCAGTCTTGAGAGGTAGTTTAACACCCACCCACACTGTCCCGATACTTCACATGTATTCAGTCATCTAACAGACAACATGTGCTTTGACAGGCAGCGAGACCTTAAATAGAAGAGAATTAGGTCCTGGGGACTCCAGTTTCACAGAAACACTTAGCCATGATACCAGGGGGAGAGGTGGAGCCACTCTGCCGGTACATAAGGGGTGACCTCAAGAGGACCAGGGTTCTGATTGTGGGCTTCGCCTACGCACAGGAGACAGTGCATACAGGCCTTTATCCCACCTGCCTGACCACTGCTCTCCCCCTTTCCAGGGCCATCTCCCAGCCCAGTGGACAGGGTTGCTCTCCCCAGTTCCTGATTGCGAATATTCTGAGCAGAGCATGGCAAGCCTTAAACCCTGGCCATGTCCAGACAGCTGAGAACCAGTAAGAGCATGGATTATCTGGGCTCCTTTTGATGGAAGCCTCTGCACACTTGTTTGTGCCAAGAAAGCCACAGGGGTTCACAGTGACATAAGCCCCTCGAGAAAAGAAACATAAATCTGTGGCTGGAGAGATGGTTCGGCGGTGAAGAGCATTGGCTGCTCTTGCAGAGGACCCAGGTTCAGTTCCTAGCGCCTACATATAGCTTTACAACCGCCTGTAACAAGTTCCAGAGGGTGTTATATGTTCTTCTAGCCTACACAGGCACTGGCTTGCACGTGGTGCACATACACATATCAGACACATACACAAAGTAAAAGAAACAACTTTTAAATCCTTAAAAAAGAAAGGAACACAGACCCTTGCTGGAGCCCAGCCTCTCTTGTGCTGATTTTCCTGAATGCTGTGGTTCCCTAGTTCTGCCTCTCTACTTTAAAGCTGTATCTCAGGGCAGATAGCTCCCCAGGCATCCGAACTCGAGCTCTTTGGGATGGGTAGATGTATTGTCCTCCTTTAGGTCAAGGCTAAGGACCATCCAGGCTTCAATTCCCAGCATCCTGTGGACCAGTCATACACCTGCCCAACCCCTCCAATTACCCAATTACAGGTCGACTCAAGGTCACTGGGTCACTCCTACTTATTACCTGTTGGGTAAGGAAATCCTTGCTTCTAAGCAGGAGTCTCACTGGCTCTCCCGTCTCTCCTTGCATCCTTCCTTCCCGGTGTGACCACAGTGAGCTGGAAGCCCCCAAGGCCTTGTAGGAGAAGAGTGTGACCCCATCCTTCCTAGTGGCTGGTGGGAATAATCCCTGCTGTAAACATAACTGGTGAGAAGGCCAGCTGGTTCATCACGGAAAACATTCTAGAATAGTGTCCGGAAAGCTTTCCTGTTGCTTCTAAGAATCAAGGAAAAGGCTATCACTGGGCTGGCAGGAGGTGCCCTGCTGGGAAGAACAGATCAGAAAGACTTGAACTAATGTACCAGCTGACTGGCCGTAAGTGTGCGCCGAAGCCGCTGGCTCACTTAAGAGTAGCTGATGTCCCTTTTATAATCTTGTTGGAGCCCAGAGATGGCTCAATGGTTAAGAGCACTTGCTGCTCTTCCAGAGGACCTGGGTTCTGTTCCAGCACCCATATTGGGCAATCTGTAGCTCTAGCTCCAGGGGGATCTGATGGCCTTTTCTGGCCTATTAGATCCTGCACCCATTGTACACATACCCACATACAGGGGCACGCGCGCGCACACACACACACACACACACACACACAGTAAAAGTAAAAACTGAAAAAAGAAACTCTCATTGTTGGCCACTGTGCTGGCTAATTTTATGTCAACTTGACACATGCTAGAGTCATCTGTGAGGAGATGACTCCAGTTGAGAAAAGGCCTCCATAAACTTGGTCTATAGGCAAGCCTGTAGGGCGTTTTCTTAATTCGTGATTGCTAGGCGACTGCCAAGCCCGTTGTGGGTGATGCCTCCCCTGGGCTGGCTGGTGGCTCAGAGTTCTATAGGAAAGCAGGCTGAGCAAGCATGAGAGCAAGCCAGTAAGCAGCTCCCCTCCATGGCCTCTGCATCAGCTCCTGCCTTCTGGTTCCTGCCCTGAGTAAGTTCCTGTCCTGCCTTCTCTCAGTAACGTTAGTTACCTGCAAGTGTAAACTGAATAAACCCTTTACGTTGCTTTTGGTCTCAGTGTTTCGTTACAGCAGTAGAAACCCTAACTAAGACAGCTAGCAAGATGGCTTAGCAGGTAAACGCAGTCTTTACAACCTAAGTTCAATACTCAAACCCACAGCAGAAGGAGTAAATCGGCTTTTAAAAGTTGTCTTCTCACCTCCACCCATGCACAGGCATGCACCTGGTACACCCTCCCCCACACACATACAACAATGATTAATGTTTTATTTATAGTTCGCAGTTAATTTGTTTTGGGGACTTTATTTTGGGATGGAATCAAGGAAGCCAGCATTTTAAAGACTACTAAAATTCTTGGTAGCAGTCATTATATCGATAAGCCTGTTTCAGAACCACCTATTCCACGCTGGTTTTCTTTCCTTCCAGATTGTTCTCTGGGGCCGGACTGAGAAATGCCTGAAAGAGACGACAGAGGAGATTCGGCAGATGGGCACAGAGTGCCACTACTTCATCTGTGATGTGGGCAACCGGGAAGAGGTATACCAGATGGCCAAAGCTGTCCGCGAAAAGGTCAGTAGCCTGGGCATGTCTGGCCCCAGCATACTGAATTCATGTGGCCTGGGAGGGAGTGTTGTTATGGCAGACTGGCTTTGTACAGGACACCTTTGGGGACTCTCCATGAAGCTTGTCCAAGTTACATAGGCGGGGACTAGGGTTGATAACACAATAAGAGTAGATCTCTATGGTCCCTTAGCCATTTAGACCCTATGAGTTTCTCTCTAAGACAAATGTCCCATTGCCTTCTGGGAAAACCCTTTCCCTAATCCAAGACATTTGGGCTGGGTAAATCAGTGAGCACCAAGAGAGAAAAGAATTCACCCTGTGACATATCCCACGCATGGTAACATTTACCATTTTAATGTGCCCATAACCTCATTTATTATAAATATGCTACGTTCTGGGTATAGTATGTGCCATAAATTATTTCTAATCCTCAGACACAGCTGGTGTGGCACCAGCGCCATTTATAAACAAGACTGATGCTCAAAAAGGCCATGTAGCTGGTGGTTGCGGAGCCTGGTCTGTGCCCCTACAGGTACAGCCCCACAGGGACTGGCTGCCCTCACGGCTCCACAGCCCCCTCTTGCCCGCAGGTGGGTGACATCACCATCCTGGTGAACAATGCTGCTGTGGTCCATGGAAAGAGCTTGATGGACAGTGATGATGATGCCCTCCTCAAGTCCCAGCACGTCAATACCCTGGGCCAATTCTGGGTAAGGGCTTTCCTGGCCCAGAGCCAGCCATAGGTGTGACAGGAAGCCTGGGTGGGGTGAGGGGAAAAGAGAGGGACACTGGGACCAGGACTCACACTAGCAGGGGTGTTCCAAGGCAAAGTGGCTAGACAAAGGGGACACACAGGATCTTCTCACTGGCTAGCATAGTGCTCGGTAGCAGGGAGGCCTCAGCCCCTCCACACTGGAAGGCTTAGACACTAGGGTAGATATGCATCGAGAGTGGGCTGTTCTCCCCAGTGCAGGCAGGGGTGCAGGGCTTGGCAGAAGCTGCACGGCTCCACGCTGACCTCAGTTACCCACCCTCAGACCACCAAGGCCTTCTTGCCGCGCATGCTGGAGCTGCAGAACGGCCATATCGTGTGCCTCAATTCCGTGCTTGCACTGTCCGCCATCCCTGGAGCCATCGACTACTGCACATCGAAAGCATCGGCCTTCGCCTTCATGGAGAGCCTGACCTTGGGGCTGCTGGACTGTCCCGGCGTCGGCGCCACCACCGTGCTGCCCTTTCACACCAGCACGGAGATGTTCCAAGGCATGCGAGTCAGGTCAGTGGGGGAGACCCAGTGAGCCGACCCAGCCATCGGTCTTTACAGGAAGAGCCTCGGGATCCCTCGGCCTTGGTCACACTCTCAGACATCATTTTCCACTCACAGGGCAATAGGATACTGCTACACTGTATCAGTTACGTCTCCTGCTTTAAGGAAGGCGAGGCTCTTTGAGGTTCGCAGTAAGAGGGTGCATCTGTCCCGGTAGGAAGTCACAGTGGCAGGAGCATGAGGCAGCCGGTCCCATCGCATCCACTATCAGGAAGCAGAGAGAGACGAAACTGGCACCCAGCTCACTCTCCATTTTGCTCAGTCCAAGACCGACTGACTGCCCACACTTAGGACCCTGCTTCTCACTGCAGGAGCTTACAGAAGACACCAGCACCGGATGTGCACGGTGGGATACTACCTGACAACAAAAATAAAAGAGGAAATGAGTGATGTTTGGCCCGTGTAACGGAGCTCACGTCCATGATGCTGAGTGAAAGAGCCACACTAGCACATTCTGCACGGTCCCGTGTACGTGGCATTCAGAACCAGGCAGAACTGTGGTGCTGGAGACAGGATCAATGGTATAGAGCCTGGGAGGGAGCCCTCGGAAACTCCGTGGTGGTGGTGGTTAATTGGGTGAAAGGTAACTGAGCTGTGCGCTGAAGGTGCGAGCCCTTTGTAGAGCCAGGACCGGTGCGGTGGCTCAGTGGGTGAAGAACCTGAGTTTGATCCCTGGGACCCACATGGCGGAGGGAGAGAACCGGCTCCAGCAAGGTGCCCTCTGACTGCCACGTGCCTTCTGTGACACATGTGCACCCACACATAACACACAGTGTACACACGAGCACACATCACACACATGCACACACACACACACACCAATCATTTTTTTAATGAATAGATACAAACTGTAGCCCCATGTGAAGAAACCCCCAAAGCCCACTACTCAAGCTACTTTCAGACCCATCTGGTGTAGGGGAATGTGACCTCGGGCTCAGTGTTCACGCTTGAATGCCAAGACCTGGGGTGGCATCATGCTGTAGCTGCCACGCGTTGTGTGATGCCAGGCTTCATTGCCAGTTTATAGAGTGGTGTGATGACTGACGTCACAAGCGGAAAGTGACATTGATATGGAACATCGTGTCACTACACATTACACATCCCATTTAAGGGAAAATTTTGTTTACTTCCCATAAAATGGTAGGAATGGTATTTACCTGATAGATTGTTGGCAAAATGAGAAATAATAATGAATGTGGCATTCCTGGCACAAACCCTAGGATACACAAATCGCTCATAAAAGAGATGCTTCCCCTTTTTTATTTTTTGAAACCAGCTCTCACCTGTAGCCTAAGGTGGCCTTCAATTCATGGTAATCTCTTGCCTCAGCCCCTTGTTTGGCATTGTAACAGTGCACCACTACTCCTGGCCATTATTTTTACCAAGAACAAACATGGTCTTAGATGAGTTTTACTAGTTTTCCTAGAAGACAGTCCCTTTAGAGTTTACCCAGAAGCAGCAGATATCTCTACCTGACTTGCTAACAAATTATCATATATTCTCAATTTCAAGGAGGTTATACTCATGACTATCCCGATGTCGTGGGATCAAATCCTAGTTCTGCGTAGGTGACTTGACTTTCCTGTGCCTCAGTTTCCCTGTTTATACATTTGAAAGTGATTGCTAATAGCACCTCCTGCTTCACACACTGGGGGAGAGCCTGTGGCTGTGACTGCTCTGTGAGCACTAAGTAGACGCCAGTTACCTATAGCTGTGCAGGGGAGAGCCAAGGGCTTGGCCAGAAGAGCAATGCTTAACCAACTCCTATTTATCGAAAGAAAAAGGGAGAAAGAGAAGCCTCGGTATTGCCCTGAGGCCATCTTAGCAATTTTCCAGGGGTGGTGATGACCACAAAGGTTAGGACCGCACAGGTTAGGCTCCCACAGGTTAGGACCGCACAGGTGGCCGTGCAGCAAGACGGACTGCGTCTGAGGATGCCACCGTTCTCGTTTGCTGACTTACTCTGTATCCCAGCCACACTAGACACTTCCCTTTCCATTACACAGTTGTTGTATTTGGCCCTCCCAGTAGCCTTGCAAGTGAGCTATAAACCCATTTCACAGACAGAGGAGCTGAGTGTCAGAAGTCGTCTGTATGAGACAACACGGCTGGAATTGGGCCAGCTGAGCAGGCTTCTCTCGTCACTTCCCAGTGTCCTTTGTTGTCATCCTACCCACTATGGAGAGGAAGGGGGGAAATCTTAACAGGGTGGAGGACTCCCCATCAGGTCCTTCTGCTAGGGTCTTACCTGGAAGGGTCCCCTAAAGCCCACACGGAATTTTCTGGCCAGTCAGGCTAGCCAAGTCGCCGGGCTCTAGGCCCATGAGAGACCCCGTTTTAAAAAGCCAAAGTGGATGACTCCTGAGGAATGATACTGAAGGTTGACCTCTGCCCTCCACACACGTACACAGTATGTCCCTGCACACACACAGACACTCGTGCACAAACGCACACTGGCACACTCACAAACAAACAAACCAAAGCTGCGCTCGTCACATAACTGAGGAGGTACAGGGAGGGCAGCAGTCGGTGAGCCCCAAGGCTGCCCCTTGCTCAGGGATGGCTGATGACTCACCACTGGTAATCTTACTGGTACCACAGTGACTCATAAGGCCTTTGAGAGACAGAGGGCGGGGCCAGCAGCACATGCCCTGTACCTTCAGACTGGGGAAAGCGGGAAGAGCCAGAACAGAGTCGCTGGAGTGGTGTGAGGGGCTCACAGCTTTGCCCCCTTATCCATAAATTGGAGAGAATATTTATGCGTGGGCCCGACACTTAGGGAACACAGTGGGTGCACAGGTCTCAGGTCAGATCCCTCTGAACAGACATGGGAAGCCCCTGTTAGATGACATGTTCATAGTCTAGAAGTCCCACAGAAAGCCAGCCGCTTTGTGTTTGGCTGACAGCCTGGTGAGCCAACAGACTAAGGACCTCCCAATCAGGAAGGCCCAGCAGAGGAGCAGGGCCAAATGACAAGTACTTATTGAGTTCCTACTGTGTGCCAGGCCCTACTAGATGCCGAGGATGCAGCAGGGAGTGAGAGTCACTGGGCCTCCACCCTGAGGGGACTCATAACCTGAAGGAGGAGACAGGCCCTTGTCAAGGAACAACCTGACAAGCAAGGTCATTCTAGATCGCGGTTGTGGTTAAGGCAACTAGAAAGGAAGAGGTGAGATCAGAGGCCACCCAGCGGCGGGGGAGGTGGAGCGATCTCGCAGGGGAGGACCCAGGAGAAGTGAGCAGGCTGTGGGCGTGGCTGATGAGGAGAGATGGCAGAGTAACCAAGGCTGAGGGCTGGCCCAGCACTTTAGAACATGGAGGGAGCCCAGTGTGAGTGCCAGGAGCCTTGGAGGTCTTTGGAGAGTGAGCCTGGCAGGGTAAGCTCTAATTCCCTGACTCTGTCAGAGATGCCCCCCTGCTTGGGCAGACTCCATTTATGTGCTGGGGCCCGATGGAGCAGGATCAGGGAACTCTTAACAGGCTCAGACTAGGAGAGAATCCCACAGCCTCGAGTCCCTCACACAGGAGAGCCACAGTGATGCCCACAGGAACACCAGCCACTCACCAAGGTGCCCAGCAGAAAGGCCAACTTCCCCAAGAGAAACCAGTATTTTCCTGCCTCCAGGTTTCCCAACCTCTTCCCACCGCTGAAGCCAGAGACGGTAGCCCGGAGGACGGTGGAAGCTGTACGACAAAACCAGGCCCTCCTCCTGCTCCCATGGACCATGAACATCCTCGTCATCTTGAAAAGGTATGGGACAGAGAGAGAGAGTTCTGCACCGGGTTCAGGTCCAGCTTTTTGCTTTACTCCAGTGAGCCCTAGTGGACAAGAGGCAGCAGGCAGGAGGAGAAAGTGAATGTAAAATCGATTAGTCATGTCTGCACAGGGCAGGAGGTTGAGGAGTAGCACCTCTCTCTGACTGTACTGACCAGTAAGGCAGTCTCGGGCTCTCTGTGAGGTTTGTTTTTATTTTTTCCTTATTTTTGAGGCAGAGCCCACTGTAAGTCGGGCTTATCTGGAACACACTATAAAGCCTAGGTTGGCCTTGAACTTACAGCTCTCCTGTCTCTCTAGCACTGGGATTATTTAAGTATGCACTATGGTGCCTGGTTTAAAGGTTCTTGAGGGGATCCAAACAGCTCTTGCTTGTGTGAGTTTTATCTATCACTACTTTCTGCATTAGAAATTAAAACTGAGAGGGGAAGTTAGATTTACGAATTAGTTTCTATTTACAGTATTTTTCATCTATAAAGGACAGCAACAGAATTATTAAGTTATAGTAACCATTTTGTTTGCTTGCCTTTTTAGTTTTGTTTTTTCTTTTGTTTTTGTTTTTCTTTTGTTTGTTTGTTTTTTTTTTTTTTGGACAGGATCTCACTAGGTATCCCCGTCTAGCCTCAACTCATAAATATATTTTTGGGATAAGCAATTACACTTTCTAAAACAACACAGACAGTTGGTCGGGAGAGACACTGGGTTATGTTCTTGCAGATCTCTCCACTGTCTGGTTTAATCTGAAGCAACTAGACTCTTACATCTGCTTCTGATTTCAGTCAGTTGGGGTAGTCCCCTGCAGCAGAACCCCAGGGAAGCTCTACCGCACGTGCAGAGAAAATTAAAGGATAAAAGGCGAACGATGGGCCGGGGATGTGGCCCTCTAGGTAGAGAGCCTGAGACCCTGGGACTGGTCCTCAGCACTGCATGAGCCAGGTGTGGTGGCTTCCGCCCATAATCCCAGCATGTGGGGAGTAGAAGCAGGAGGGTGAGAAGTATCAGGCTATCCTACATAGTCAGTTTGAGGCTAACCTGAGTGACTTTTTTTTAAAGACAGAAAGAAAAAAAAAGAAGGAAGGAAGAAGGAGAAAAACAAATTATACTGCAGTGTTACTCTAAGCATCCTAGAGAGATCCCAGGCACCCCCAAGAGTCCCTGGACCACACTGTTAAGAACCACTGCCCTACACACTATCAGGCATAGCCCCAGCTCCAGTCTAATGGCGACAGGAGTTTTCGTGCCAAAAGCTCAGAATCTGGAGATGGGTCATAGCTCTAGTGGGGTGGGGTTTACCAGGGAAGACCACCTTGGGAGGCGGGCTTCCTAATGGAGATACTTTCTCCTCTAGAATCTTCCCAGCCCCGAATTCACCTACAACTGTCCAGACTTGGCACAGCAAGACCCTGCATCTGGGTCCCATGCTGAAGGGACTATTAGTGCCTGTGGCTGTATGCTCTCCATACGGGGAGACCTGCGTCCCTGCAGCCATGACCGTGGCTCCTGCTTTTCACAGAGTGTGGCCCCTTGTTCCAGGCTGTTATCGTCCAATGTTGACTCCCAGAAAAACCACACCCTTGGATGTGTGACTAAGGGAACAGTGGCAACCGGCCCTTTGTCTTTTCCACTCGGATAGCCTCCGTGCAAGCAGAGGGTGGAGCGTGGAGAGCTGGGAAGAGAACACTTAGAGCGTTCACACTGTCCCAGCATACCCTGACCTTCAGTCCAAGATGCTCTCTGACTGCCTGAGGGATCCTCCAGAGGGGCAGGCACCAAGCTCCCGAACTCTGGGGGATGGCTCAAAGGACAAAGCACTTGCTGTGAGAGTGTGAACTTGATGTGTGCACTGTAGCAGGTGAATGTATACACAACACACACACCCCACACACACACACAATACACACAACACACACACACACACAGAGAGAGAGAGAGAGAGAGAGAGAGAGAGAGAGAGAGAGATTTCTTTAAAAGAGGACTAGAGACATGGCAAGAGGTTAAAAACCCTTGCTGTTCTTGCAGAAGACCAGAGTTCAGTTCCCAGCACCCACCTCTGGCAGCTCACAACCACCTGTTAACGACAACTTTCAGGGGGATCTAATGCCCTCTTCTGGTCTCGTTGAGCAATTGCACTCAAGTGCACAAACAGGCACACACACATCCACATAATTAAAAATAAAACAGAGAAAAAAGAAAAGTGCATGCATCTTGGGGTTCTAGAGGCTGAGACACCCAAGAGTATGCCACAGCATCTGGCAAGGGCCTTCCTGCTGCCTCATGACATGACGGAGGGTTCCCCATGCAGGACAGAGCAAGTATGCCCAGAGAGCTGGCTGCAATAATAGAGTCACTCTGGCTGTCCATTAATCCATGACGGGGCGGATCCCCTCACGACCCAGCCACCTCAGTCTCACCACAAAGAAAGTCAAGTTTCGGCTTGCGTCTTGGAAGGGCCGGGACACACTGAACAGGCACCACGGCGCACAGCCCTTCCTTGTTCCTCTGCTTGCCCTTACCTAGTGAAAGTGTTCGTTCTGGGAGGTCAGGTGCTGTTTTTTCGGAAGGGGATCTGGGGCATGGGTTGCAGTGCATTGCCGCCCCCCCCCACTGTCGGCTGCCCTGCTAACCATCTGCCTTCTCCCCCTCAGCATACTCCCACAGGCCGCGCTGGAGGAGATCCACAGGTTCTCAGGGACGTACACCTGCATGAACACCTTTAAGGGAAGGACATAGAGGAAGACACACCTGAGGAGCCATGGAACCTGGGAGAAGCCGCAACCCCTGGGCACACGCCCATGTGCCTGTGCATTAGGAGCATCTGCTGGGTGAGCAGGACTGTTCCTGTCCCCAGGGAAGATTCTGCTGCTCCCAGGTCAACTCCAGGACCTTTGCAAGACTGATGTGTGTAACTCTGACCCCCATGGGGAGGCGAGATGCCATTCGGCAACCACCTGACAACTTTATGCACTTCTCACTCTGTAGGGTTCATTGTTAAATTGCTTCTCCAGTCTAACCCGCCTGAGCAGTATGCATCTACGATTTCCAGGAGAGTCCGCCCCCAGACACTCTGCCGTCCCCTCCAACCCCTCCCACCCTCAGCTCGTGCAAACTGGTTAAAGGGCAGTAAATAAAGAGGTGGCTTTTGCAGCTTCCTTTTGTTTGTGTCCCTAGGAGGGAGGCAGCCTGGGAAGGAGCCTGTCCCAACCACAAAGTCCCAGAGTCTACAGAGAGCAGCCCAGCCCCAGGAGAGGAGGTCAGGGAGGCCCCTCCAGACACATGGCTTCCCTGGTAGGATCCCTGAGAGCTAGTCCACAGAGGAACTCACCCCAGTTAGAGTCCTGCCTGTCCTTCCTTGACCCCACCGGGCCACCAACTTAAAAGTAAAGTCAGGGTTTACTGAGCACCTGCTGTCTGCCCCCCTCATGAAGAAGCCATGATGATACCAGCAGATGTCATTCATCTGGAGAAGAAAGACTCGTGAGCCGATAGTGACCATTCATCACTTAGCATTGTGGGCTGCTCAGACCCCACAGCAATCTAGTTGTGGGAGACGGGAAAGTCCAGGGAATGGAAGGAGCTGGCATGGTCTCAGACAGGAGCAGAGGTGCCCATGGTTCTCTGGTGTGACTCTCACGCTGAGAAAATTGAGTCGATGGCACTGTGGTCAGTGGGGAGCAGGGAGCAATGTGGCCTGCTAGGAATAGCATCCGTCTATATGCAGGTAAGTGACAGGAAGCAGGCAGGGGAGGTCCCCCAGAGAGGAGGAGAAGGTCCCAAGCCTCCGACTTAGTGGGGAGCTTCCTTGAAAGCTTCACAAAGACCACATAGACCTGAGCACCTCGGGCTGGACCCCCCACGCTCACAATAAAGAGGATGGGATGACCCAAGCGAAGGTGGGCTGGTCTGCGGGAGAAACACTAGGTGTCTGGTGTCTATGGAGTGTTGACAGGGCACAGCCAGCCTAAGACACGGTATTTGTACTGTGTCCTTTGCCAGCCCTCCCTGCAGCTACTGAAGAAGAAGAAAAAAAATCAGAGTGACCACATCAAACAATCTAACCACTTGGTGGTGGGTGTCAGCCAGATGTGACTCCCAGATAACCAAGGCTTCCAACAGGGATCTCAGTTTATTCATGAAACCGTCTCACTCTGGGCAGCCGAGATGTCCCAGGGAGGAAATGTGCGTTGGTCCACCATCATGCCCTCTTCAAGTTCTGCCCGGAAATGGTGTATGTTGCTTCCACTCCCATTTCATTGGCCAGATCCATCCAGTCATGTGATCATACCTGCCAAAGATCCTGGGAAGCTGAATGCAGTGATCACATGCCAAGCCGTGGAAGAAGACTTCATGAGTTAAAGTTAGAATTGAAGCCCGGATGGAGAGAAGACAACTTAAGGACAACTCAAGCAGCCCAGGAGACCCTGCTGGTGCTGCCCAGAAGACCCTGCTGGTGCTGCCCAGGAGACCCTGCTGGTGCTGCCCAGGAGACCCTGCTGGTGCTGCCCAGGAGACCCTGCTGGTGCTGCCCAGGAGACCCTGCTGGTGCTGCTCAGGAGACCCTGCTGGTGCTGCCCAGGAGACCCTGCTGGTGCTGCCCAGGAGACCCTGCTGGTGTTGCCCAGGAGACCCTGCTGGTGCTGCCCAGGAGACCCTGCTGGTGCTGGGCAACCCCTGCAAAGGCAGGTGCCTGGCTGTCTTCCCAAGCACCCTTCCAACAGGAGACTTCGGAACCCTGCCCCACAGGTGACAAGATGAATTCAGAAGAGGATGTGGGCTCAGCCAGGTCCACAACTAAACACAGCTCTGACTCCTGGTTTTCCATGGCACCAGACAGTAGCAAGCAACAAGGAGTCAAGTCAGGGCCATCCATCACCTTTTTCGTCCTTGAGGACAAGTGTCTCCACTGTGTGGGATGTTACTACCCACCTCAGCCCCCTGTGGTGTCCCGACAATTTCCCAAGGCCTGTGGCTGACTCTTCCAGGAGACAGACTGGGGTAAGGGTTGGGGGGGTTCATCTTAGTGGATAGAGAGAAGTGGGTGGGGCAAGGCGGGGTCTAGATTGTTGAGCCCCAACTTTTCTGACCATCTCTGAGCAGCTGTGTTTCTGTGCCCCTTCAGGAGACACTTGGATCGCTGGGGGTTCCATTGACCTTTAAACCAGAAATGCAGTGAGGATCCCAGGGGAATATGGTGGAACGCTGGGATCAGCCACGCCCAGACAGCCTGTCCCAGGATCCACCAAGCATGATCGCAGCCTTGGCTGCAGGGGGGAATCTCTGGGATTCCCAGAATGCAAATGGTTTCTCTTGGTGGTAGGATGGAGCCTCATCCTCCCACAATACATACACAACAGCACCCTGCTTTTGATCTTTTTTTTTTTTTTTTTTCCTTTTGGATCGATTCCCAGAGGAACCAGGGAAAAGGCCTTGGGCATATTCCCAGGAAACCTCTCTGATCCCTCACTGGAATGGTTTGACTGCCTGGAGAGCTTCAAGAGTGAGAATGGAGAGCTAATTCTGTCCCTTTGCTTGTCCAAGTGAAGGAGAGTGACGAGTGCCAACCCCCTGAGGGACATAACAAGCTGTGCCAACCTTGCAAAGAAGCCTTGGGTCCTGGGAAATGACCCAGTTGCCAGGCTGTTCCTCCCCAGCCCCAAAGAGAAGCACATCAGGGTGGGTGCCAAGCCCAGGGAGGCAGCAGACCTCAGCCCTGACTGGCTCTGGTCCAGGAGAGCAGGCTGTCTGGCTGGACCAGTGGTCAAGAATTCAGTCCTGTGGACACCAGTAGCTCCCGGGAACCAAATACTTTGAGAAACTGACCCTCCCAGGAACAAGCTGATGTCTAAAGGGACCAGGTGACAGAAAAGCCCCAGAGCTGACTCCAGGAGTCACTACCAGGCCTCTACCCCTCCTACCTGAGAGCCCCATCCCAAGGGAGGCAGTTTTCACCTTTGAGATGTTCCTATCCAACGGGAAGACAAAGAAAAAGAACCCAGGCCACAAGGCACAGGAGCTGAGGTCCTCAAAGAACAGCTCTGCATGGCTGGGAAAAGACAGAGGAGACAGGAGCCCATGCGGGACCCCTCCCCTGAAGGGCACCTTTCTGATCCTCAGGGTTTGGGACAGAATTAAGAGCCCAGAGGACTTTTCTACACACACACCCCTCGCTTCAGGCAAAGCCAAAAAGGCGACAAGGATCTGCTGACGCAGAAGGAGGGCTGGATCTCTTCCCAGACACATCTTACTGGGCTCCCAAACATTCCTTGGGTCTTGGAGTGCAGTTCAGTTAGTGGAATCTTGTCTAGCCCTGGGCTTGATCCCCAATACCGCAAAAACCAGGCTGGGTGCATACTTTTATTTCTAGCACTTGAGAGATGGAGGGCAAGAGAATCAAAAGGTCAAGGCTATCCTCAGCCACATAAAGAGCTTAAAGCCAGCCTGGGATGCAGGAAGCTCTGTAATCAAACCACAATCAGAAGCCATTGATTAGGGGCCAGAGAGATGACTCCGAGCCTGACGACATGAGTTAGATCCCTGAGACCTGCGTAGTAGAAGGAGAGGACCAATCCCCTCAGATTATTCTCTGACCTCCACGTGGACCCCATGGGCATACACACATGTACACATGTGCACACACAATAAATGGATCAGTGTAAAAAACACTGCTTTTCCAGCAAGCTCACCTGACTGCACCTGTGTCTACATGGGAGGCCTGTACAGAGAGCGACTAAGTCAGCGTCTCACATTCTCAAGGGCCACTGTGCCCCCCATCTGCTCAAAGGCCCAGCTCTCAGTCCCCACGCCTTCACGCTCACCCCTCCAAGCAGAGCCAGGGCTCAGATGCCCACCCCAACTCTGCCAGTCTTCTCGGGCCAACCATGAAGCCCGAAGGTTCTACAGGAAGTGGGAAAGAGACCCCGGGATCTGGGGGAGAGGGAGGGTGTCTTCGTCTCCTTTCCCATTGCTCTCATAAAGCACTCTGACAAAAGCCACTTAAGGAAGGAAGGGCTTACCTGGGCTCACAGTTCAAGGGACAGTCCACCACGCTGGGGACAGAGCTTGAGCTAGCTAGCTGATCATGTCATGTCTACTGTCGTCTGCAGTCAGAGTCATGAGTGCAAGCATCCTAGAGGTACTAGGGCTCAGCTCACGCCGGGTCTCAAACAGGTCAGAATCGAGCGGCCCTGCCCACAATTAAGATGGCTCTTTCCTCGTTAAAGTTTCCCTCAGGTATGCTCGGGGGGGGGCCTTCCAGGTGACTCCAGGTTCTGTCTTGGTAGCAGTTACCATTTACTATTTCAGGAAGGAATCCATACCCTTGGGGTCCCGTCTGGGTTCAGCCCCGTCCTCTGTAATACCATCTCTCCTGCCCTTCTGAGCTGGGTGACTATCCAGTGTGGACTGAACTTAAGAAGGCACAGTGAAGTTAAAATGGTGACAGGAAACTTGTGGTTCTCACAGCTCCAGACATGACCTGGTAGCCCCTTGAGCTACCTGGATCACTCACGGCCTTGTCCTGCCTCTGGTGGTGACATGCTTTTTGAGGCATGGCTGGCTCTGGCTATGGTGTGATAAGCTGAGACTCAGAAGACCCCTTCATGGGCAATGGTACGGGGGTGAGGAGAGGCCTCAGGGGAGGACGGGTGTGGAGTCCCCAGTGGGATGGAAGGTTCTTCCTGGAAAGCAGAGGTGCAGTCCTTCAGTGCCTAGCGGACGCTCACCTGCCGTCCTTGTCCCTGAGAAGCCCTTTGACACTCACAGCTCCCCACGGCTTGGGAAGAGAAGAAACCGTGATGACCCCTGGGAGTGACAGCTATCACCCTGCTGGGATGCTGCTGTCCACATGGGGCATTGCCCAGGGTGGACAGAAAGCTTGAGCTTCGGGGTTCACACAGAGACATCATACCAAAGACACTGGCAGCAAAAGCCCTCTGTATTAGTCAGGATTCTCTAGAGGAAAAGAACTGAGTGTGTGTGTGTGTGTGTGTGTGTGTGAGTGTGTGTGTGTGATATGATCAAATGTCATATATATAAGTCCCATACGTATATGGGATTTATTAGAATGGCATATAGGCTGTGGTCCAGCTAGTCTACCAATGGAAGGTCCAAAAATTCAATACATTCAATAGATGTTCACAATAAATGTC